CTCTCAGGTCGCACGGCCCCCTGTCTGACTCACACACACACACACACACACACACACACACACACACACACACACACACACACACACACACACACACACACACACACACACACACACGCCACCATCTCCCACCCACTCCACCCCTGCTCTCGACCGCACCAGGCGGCGCGCCCACTCTGCTTCGGCCAGACGGCCATCATTGTGCCGGACGAGGCGCCGGCCCAGCCCTCCGATTCCCCGAGATTGAGCCGCGAGATTCCCCGAGATTGCCCGAGGTAGGCGCTGGTCGACCCGCCGCGCCTCGCCTCCCTGCTCGCCGAGGCGCGCGCCACGCGCATCCTGACGACCCCCTCGCTCCTCGCAACCTTTCTCGAGCTTGGCTGCCCGCCGCCGCCCGCCGCACCACCCGCCGCCGCATCGCCCGCCGCGCCACCCGCCGCCGCATCGCCCGCCGTGCCTCCCGCCGCCGCATCTCCGCTCGGCTGCTTGCGGCTGTGGACTCTGTGTGGCGAGGTCGCGCCGGCGAGCCTCGTCGAGCGGCACGCAGCGTCTCTGCCGCACGTGCAGCTCGTCAACGACTACTCCTCCTGGGAGGGGTGCGACGCCGCATACGCAGACCTCCACCCGGCCGCGCCGGACGCGGCCGCCGGCGCCATAGCGCCCGTCGGACGGCCTCCGGCTGGCGTCGCCATCGCCGTCCTCGACCCGGACTCGCTCGCCCCGGTGCCGCTGGGTTGCCTGGGCGAGGTGTACGTCCTCACGCCGCAGGCCTCACCCACCCCCCTAGCAAAGAGAACGCTGTCGACCGACCAGCCACTCCAGCCAGCCACTCCAGCCAGCCACTCCAGCCAGCCACTCCAGCCAGCCACTCCAGCCAGCCACTCCAGCCAGCCACTCCAGCCAGCCACTCCAGCCAGCCACTCCAGCCAGCCACTCCAGCCAGCCACTCCAGCCAGCCACTCCAGCCAGCCACTCGAGAGGACACGCACTCGGCTGCACTCGGCTGCCTCCAGCCTGTAGCACTCGCTGTACTCGCAGCCCTCCTGCTCCGAGTACACGGCACGCGGCCGTACTCCCGCCCCGACAATGTGCGAGCCCTCGCCGCAGGCCTTCACTGGCTACGCCGGCGCCGCCGACCTGACCACCGCGAGACTGCTCCCCGCGCCGCCAGAGCTGTGCGCGCTGCTGCGCGCGTCTCTCGGGCCCAACAGCCTCACCCTCACCCTCTGCGCCGACCACGCAGCCGAGGTGCGCGCACAGGCCGACCGGGACGCGGCCACCGCCTCCGCCTCAACCGCCGCCTCCGCCACCGCCTCCGCCTCAACCGCCGCCTCCGCCACCGCCACCGCCTCCGCCGCCACCGCCGCCACCGCCACCGCCTCCGCCGCCTCCGCCTCTGCCTCAACCGCCTCCGCCGAGGCGCCGCCGTCTCCGCGCGCCGTGCGAGGCGCGGCGGGCGGCGAGGCCGAGCTCCTCCTCTATCGGACGGGCGACCTTGCGCGGCTCCTCCCGTCTGCGGCGGCGGGCGGCGAGGCGAGCGTGCAGGTGCTCGGCCGACGCCCGCCCGACGGCTCCGTTGAATTAGTGTATGCGTTCATTCATTCACAAGTTCATTCATTGCTTGGCCGACGTCCGCCCGACGGCTCGCTCTCGTGACGGCCTGTGTGACTCGGCTGCACGACCTCTGGCTCAGGTGCTCGGCCGGCTCGACTCGACCGTCAAGATCCGCGGGTACAAGGTCGGGCTGCCCTACGTCGAGGCGAGATCCGCCGAGATGCGCCGAGATGCGCCGAGATGCGCCGAAGAGGCGCCGAGAGGCGCCGAGAGGCGCCGAGAGGCGCTGAGAGGCGCCGAGAGGCGCCGAGAGGCGTCGAGAGGCGCTGAGAGGCGCCGGGCCGACTCACCCTTCCTTCCGCCACACCCCGCCAGGCGTGCATCTCGGCTCTGGCCGGCGTCGGCCGCTGCGCCGTCGTCGCGCTGCTCGACGAGGCAGACGAGGAACGGTTGTCCCTTCCGCGAGGTGTTTCTTTTTCGACGTTTTTCTTTTTGGGGGGAGTAGGCGACCGGGCAGCCATCCTCGCTGGTGGCACACGTCTTCCCGGACGCGGCGGCCGCCGCCGCGGCTGAGTCGGACGAGCCGAGCTGGCTTGCGGCGGTGCGGGAGGCTGCGCGCGCCGAGTTGCCGCCGCACGCGCTGCCGCGCCACTGGTTGATCACTCCGCAGCTCGGCGGTCCGTGGCCTTCCCCCAACCCCAACCCCAACCCCACCCCACACACACCCACACACCCACACACCCACCCACACACCCACACACCCACACACACCCACACATCTACACCCACCCATCTACACCCGCCCACCCATCACCCACGCGCAGACAAACCGCCCTGCGCCCCCACCAGGAGTTGAATAGAAGAAAACCTGGTTGGCTCTGGTGGACGCTATGTAAAGATGGAATACCCTGATCTCGGTGCGCCCCCGTGCGCGCCGCCACCGG